GGGGTGGGGCGGGGCGTGGCGGTGAGTTCGCGCCTTTGCGCTATCGCGAGGCGGTGCTGCCGCGCGGGATGCCTGCTGACGCGCTGTGCTATGCGCTGCCGTGTGCCGGCCGGCGTGCTGCTGGTGTGCTGAGCTGGCGTACTTACAACACCTGATCGAGGAGTATCGCTGCTTTATCTCGAGTCCAGAGGGCGCGGCCGCAGGGTTTCCGACGAGTCATTCCAGTCACTTCCCTTCCCCCTTTCCATCTCTCTCCCTCTCTCTCTCTCTCCCTCTCTCTCTCTCTCTGTGTCTCTGTCTCGCTCTCCCCCACTTCCCGTCCCTCTTCTCCTGCACCAAACCCCTCCCCAACCCAGATGGACACCACTGTATCTCTCTCCCGTGCGCCAGCTGATCCTCAGCCTGCTTGGCATTCATGGCCTGCTTGCTGGCCGGTGGCTGGGAACACCCCAAGGAACACCCAAAGGAACACCTCGGCTGGGCGCCTCGCCCTCCCAGGCATCCTCATCTGTCTGCGTCAGCCGGGCCAGTCCATCGCTCGGGCGGCCGGAGGGAGCGACTGCAGATAAATGCACGAATAAAGTACTGCACCCTTTGCCTCCTGTCTACTGCCTGCTGCTGCTCGAGCTCAGTGCGCCGCTGCCGCGACCGCTGGCTATCTCTCTCTAATCGTCCGCCGAACTCCCGTTTCTTTTCTTTTTCTTTCGACAATTCGTAAGAAAAATATATTGCTGTACTGGTAAGAGAAGTGTTCTTTTTTCTGACAGATCTTTTAATGAGTTCGAAGCTGATCACAGATCCTTCTTAGGACAACTTAGTAAATTTGAATAATGCGAATCCATTAGAAACAATCCACCACTAAAAATAACGCTGATTCTTGAAGTGTTCTCACTTTTAATAAGGGAATACCACATACATTTTCTAGGTACCTATACAAGACTATGCTGCTGAAGCAGCGTATAACTCGCCTACTTAAGACTGTGTGGACTGTCATCGGTACTCACCGTCACCGTCGTCGACGTCCTCCTTGGAGTTGGCGGGGCTAGGCTGCGGGAGCGTCACCCCCTGGACGCCCTGGCCGTACCTCACCGGCGAGAAGCCCATCGCCAGTCCCACAGGCGGTCTGCAAGCAAAACGCCATACGTGGTCAAAAATTTAGTTGTGTTCAGCTATACATATTTTTTCAGCTAGTCAGCTGAATATGTTTTGCGACATAAAGCTAAATTTAGACCTTTTTTTAGCTACAAAGCTAAATGTTTAGCTGCATAGATAGATTTTTAGCTACAGAGATAATTTTTTAGCTACATAGCTAAATTCGGCTAATTTTTTATAAAAACTACAGAAAAGCTATAGCTAAATAATTAGTTGTCCCTAATTTAGCCACAGCTTAAGCTGTGAAGGTATTTTTTTTTTTTCGTGCGCCGCCACCCGACGCACTTCTAGTCGGTCATCTAATCGAATCACACGGTAACGCATTTCCGATGGCGCTGAGCGTGGCCTTGCCTGCTGGTCCCGCCCCCGCGGCCACGTCGCCGTGACCCTCCGCGTCGAGCGTCGTCGACGACTTCCTTATGGAAATAATGGTCCCCGCGCGAGCAGGGGACCCCAGATGCACACCAGGGCGAGGTCAGCCCAAGGGGTGAGGGGGTGGGCGGGG